TGGGGTCGATTCTACTAGGGTCAGTTATGGGGTCAGTTATGGGGTCAGAGACTGTAAGGATCCGGTTATGAGATTCAGTTATGGGGTCAGTTATGGGGTCAGCTCACCACAGTGCCATCCTTGAGCCACTGCTGGAAGCCGTCCCTGCCGGGCTGGGGCAGGGGATCAGTTATGGGGTCAGGGCTATGAGGTCAGTTATAGGGTCAGTTCTGGGGTCAGGTCACTCACGGTGCCATCCTTGAGCCACTGCTGGAAGCCGTCCCTGCCGGGCTGGGGTGGGGGATCAGTTATGGGGTCAGTGATGGGGTCAGTTATGGGGTCAGTTATGGGGTCACTCACGGTGCCATCCTTGAGCCACTGCTGGAAGCCGTCCCTGCCGGGCTGGGGCAGGGGATCAGTTATGGGGTCAGTTATGGGGTCAGTTATGGGGTCAGTTATGGGGTCAGTTATGGGGTCAGTGATGGGGTCAGTTATGGGGTCAGTTCTGGGGGTCAGTGTATGGGATCAGTTCTGGGGTCAGGGGTCACTCACGGTGCCATCCTTGAGCCACTGCTGGAAGCCGTCCCTGCCGGGCTGGGGCAGGGGATCAGTTCTGGGGTCAGCTATGGGATCAGTTATGGGATCAGTTATGGGGTCAGTTATGGGGTCAGTTATGGGATCAGTTATGGGGTCAGTTATGGGGTCAGTTATGGGGTCAGCTATGGGGTCAGTTATGGGGTCAGGGCTCTGGGATGAGTTCTGGGGTCAGTTATGGGGTCACTCACAGTGCCATCCTTGAGCCACTGCTGGAAGCCGTCCCTGCCGGGCTGGGGCAGGGGATCAGTTATGGGGTCAGTTATGGGGTCAGTTATGGGGTCAGTTATGGGGTCAGTTCTGGGGTCAGGGCTATGGGGTCAGGGTCACTCACGGTGCCATCCTTGAGCCACTGCTGGAAGCCGTCCCTGCCGGGCTGGGGCAGGGGATCAGTTATGGGATCAGTTATGGGGTCAGGGCTGTAGGATCAGTTCTGGGGTCAGTTATAGGGTCAGTTCTGGGGTCAGTTATGGGGTCAGGGCTGTAGGATGAGTTCTGGGGTCAGGGTCACTCACAGTGCCATCCTTGAGCCACTGCTGGAAGCCGTCCCTGCCGGGCTGGGGCAGGGGATCAGTTATGGGGTCAGGGCTATGAGGTCAGTTATAGGGTCAGTTCTGGGGTCAGGTCACTCACGGTGCCATCCTTGAGCCACTGCTGGAAGCCGTCCCTGCCGGGCTGGGGTGGGGGATCAGTTATGGGGTCAGTGATGGGGTCAGTTATGGGGTCAGTGTAGGGTCACTCACGGTGCCATCCTTGAGCCACTGCTGGAAGCCGTCCCTGCCGGGCTGGGGCAGGGGATCAGTTATGGGGTCAGTTATGGGGTCAGTTATGGGGTCAGTTATGGGGTCAGTTCTGGGGTCAGTGATGGGGTCAGTTATGGGGTCAGTTCTGGGGTCAGTGATGTGGGATCAGTTCTGGGGTCAGGGTCACTCACAGTGCCATCCTTGAGCCACTGCTGGAAGCCGTCCCTGCCGGGCTGGGGCAGGGGATCAGTTCTGGGGTCAGTTATGGGGTCAGGGCTATGGGGTCAGTTTTAGGATGAGTTCTGGGGTCAGGGTCACTCACAGTGCCATCCTTGAGCCACTGCTGGAAGCCGTCCCTGCCGGGCTGGGGCAGGGGATCAGTTATGGGGTCAGCTATGGGGTCAGCTATGGGGTCAGTTATAGGGTCAGTTATGGGGTCAGTTATGGGGTCAGTTATAGGGTCAGTTATGGGGTCAGTTATGGGGTCAGTGATGGGGTCAGTGATGGGGTCAGGGCTGTAGGATCAGTTATGGGGTCAGTTATGGGGTCACTCACAGTGCCATCCTTGAGCCACTGCTGGAAGCCGTCCCTGCCGGGCTGGGGCGGGGGATCAGTTATGGGGTCAGTTATGGGGTCAGTTCTGGGGTCAGTTATGGGGTCAGTTCTGGGGTCAGGGCTGTGGGGTCAGGGTCACTCACAGTGCCATCCTTGAGCCACTGCTGGAAGCCGTCCCTGCCGGGCTGGGGCAGGGGATCAGTTATGGGGTCAGTTATGGGGTCAGGGCTATGGGGTCAGTTTTAGGATGAGTTATAGGGTCAGTTCTGGGGTCAGTTATGGGGTCAGGGCTGTAGGATGAGTTATGGGGTCAGGGTCACTCACGGTGCCATCCTTGAGCCACTGCTGGAAGCCGTCCCTGCCGGGCTGGGGCGGGGCGGGGGCGTCGGGGCCCAGCTGGGTCTGGATCCAGCGCAGCAGCAGCTGCTCCAGCTCGGGGTCGTACTGACGCTCGATCTTCTGCTGCACCTCCCGGCTCAGCCCGTACGACGGGCCCCGGTTCGCCATCCTGGGGGGGACAGGGGGGGACACCTCTGTCAGGGTGTGATGGTTTTGATCTAGGCCTTCCTGGTAACCAGTTTGTAACCAAGGAAGTGGCCAAGTACCCAGTATTCCATACGATTTTTACGTAAACCAGAGTATAAATAAGTCGGAGATTAGAGACCTCGCTCTCTTCTCTTCCAACGAGGGTCGGGAACTGTAGGTCCTTGCGTTGGTCTCGCTTATCTAAAGCTGAGGCCTGCAGCGACCGCTGGCCTGACACGTGGGGGGTTCGGAGAGTGCTGGCTGTGTCTGCTAATCCTGCTTTTTCTAAGGGAAGTGGTGAGATCTGTTTTGTTAATTACTAGTATAGTTCTTGAATTTGATTAAGTATACCTGTTCGGTGTCCCTTTTTTTTCCCCTTTCCCTATCCCTTCGGGGAGTGGATCCCCTTTTACTGTGTATATAGCATCTTAACTGTATATAACTTTAATTTACGTAAATATATATATATTTTATATAAACAGCTTGACTTTGGATTCTTTAATTTTTTTATAGTTTTTTTTTTCTTCTTTGCCCTAAGAGGAGAAGGGAGGGAGGAAGGGGGTTGCTGTCGTGACTTTCGGGCATTTGGCAGGGAGCCAAGTCCAAACCATCACAGATTTTCTGGTGGCCCGTACGGGGAGATTGTTTTGGTTATCCTGGTTTGTTTTGGAACAGTTACCGGGAAAACTGCCAAGAGAGGCTTGTTTATATAAACAAACCTATTGTTTAAGAACAGAGAGAAAGAATAATATAACGATGGCTATTCTAACTACTTGTTTCATTGTACTAGCTATATTTGTGCCTGTTTTGGGCTATCCTGTAGGGAAACGCCCAACTGGAGATGAATGGGAGGAGTATATCCCTTCCTTTGATTGGGATGAATAGAAAGAGTATCTCACTTTCCTTGATTGGAATGAATGGAAGGAGTATTTCACTTCCCTCAATTTTGACATCAAAAGCCTGCTAAAGGAGATCCCTATCATTACAATTGGCTCCAATTTTTACTTAAATTGTTTAGTGACAATCCTGGTACTCGTGAAGGCGATGAAAGAGTTATTTAAAACTGGAAGAATGGTGTTGTGTTGCTTTTCGTCTTGTAGAAAAGGTCAGACCTCTAGAGGATTCGCTGGAACTTTGGGAAGAGTCTTGGAAAGGCCAGTTTCTGGATGGCAAGGAGCATGGGTAAATTTTGGCAAACTGGTAGGGCGTGTGGCACCTCCCATTGTTTGGGACTTCACGCCAGAACATGTGTCTAATCCTGACGAGATGACACGTTGTTTAGTTGAAGGATGTCTTTCATATGATGACCCAAACACGCAGCTCCTTGCTTTATGCTGGGGTCTAGTGACAGCTTATGGAGCTGCCTTAGATCACTATCAAAAGCCTAAGACAGAGGTAGAAAGCCAAAATATGTCACCTGGAACAAATGATGCCCCTATTGAGTCCACAGACGTCGAGATCCAGACTCAACCTGAAGTCAGCACCATCTCTATTGAGTCAACTGAGTGTGGAACACAAACTCAGACCCGAAGTCAGTACCGTCTCTGTTAAACTGACTGAATGTGGAACACAGACTCAGACCAAAGGCAGTGCCATCTCTGTTACACTGACTGAATGTGGAACACAGACTCAGACCGAAGGCAGTGCCGTCTCTGTTAAACTGACTGAATGTGGAACACAGACTCAGACCGAAATCAGCACCGTCTCTGTTAAACTGACTGAATGTGGAACACAGACTCAGACCGAAGGCAGTGCCGTCTCTGTTAAGCTGACTGAGTGTGGAACACAAACTCAGCCTGAAGTCAGCGCCGTCTCCGTTAATTCAACTGAACATGAAACACAGACCCAACCTGAAGTTAGCGCCATCTCTATTAAGTCAATTGAGTGTGAGACTCAGACTCAACTTGAAGTCACCATAGCTTCTACTAAATCTGTTGAAACTGGAGTCCAAACCGTAGATCTCATGGACACTGGAACTCAAACAATGACATCTAATGTTAAGGTTACGACAGAGATGAAGACCTGGACTACCAACCCGAGAATTACTATCGCCCCCCTAACTAAGAAGAAGATATGGATAAGGGATACTGCAGAAACTACAGACCTAGTTCCACGATTAAGGCGTATGGAAGAAGAAGAAGAAGAAGAAGAAGAAGAAGAAGAAGAAGAGGGAGCAAAGGGACTTGCCAGCCCCATGGAACCTATCCCATCCAATTATGTAGTAGTGGACGAATGGACGGCTGCAAAAGAGGAAGAAGTAACAGCGAGAGAAGGAGCGCGCCCAAAAGAATTAGGAGAGCGTCCAAAGGAAAAGGGAGTGCACCTGAAGGAAGAAGGGGCGACAGCACAAATAGCCAATAAACCACCAAAGACAAGGCTGACGCCCAAATATTCTCTTCCTGACTTTCCTGCGGAAGATACAGAAGAACGGTTGAGACCTTCATCCCAAAGTCTGAAGGACTACTCCCTACCTCCATCTCGTGGGCTTAGACAACGGAGTAGAAGTCTATCCCCGCTACATGCTCAGTCTCTCCCTCCACGTGAGAGAGGCAGAGAGAGAGAGAGAGCAGTTCCACGTAGAAACGTCAGAAGAGAAGTGGAAATGGTTCCACCGAGGGGAGACCCTTATTCTGGAGCAGCAGTTGTGCGAACGAGTGAGGTACTGCGAACAATGACCCCAGCAGAGCTCCGGGATCTACGACGGGATTACAGCCGCCGGCCTGGTGAACAAATTCTCACCTGGCTGGTACGATGTTGGGATAATGGAGCCAGAAGCCACTTGTTAGAGGGTCATGAAGCACAGCAGCTAGGATCCCTCGCTCAAAACCGTGAAATAGAACAAGAAATCGCAAGAGAGACATACAATCTCAGTCTCTGGCTCCGAATCCTCCATGCTGTGAGGGAAAAATATCCATTTAAAGAATACTTAATGAGTTCTCCGAAAAAGTGGACGAGTGCAGAAGAAGGCGTCCAATACTTACGAGAATTAGCTATGCTGGAACTCATTTATTGCAATTCAGATTATTATGACTGTTTAGAACCAGAGAAGATTTCATGTACAGAACCAATGTGGAGGCAAGTGATTAGAGGTGCCCCTGCATCATACCTTAATTGCTTAATATCAGTATATAATCCAAAAACGGATGAACCGACTGTGGACACCATGTGTTCATGGATACGGACCATAGCAGAAAATTTGGAAAGGTCCTCCGATACCCGACACCGACCTATCCATGCTAGGGAAGCAATGGAGAGGCCCTATGAATATTTCAGATATGAAGACGACTATAGTGATAGAGATGATAGAGTCTATATAGACTACAGAGATTTTAGAGACAGACCAATAAAATAGTCTCGACCACGATTTCGACCTCGATCTTGGTCCCGGCCTCGTTCCTGGTCTCCTTTCTTAGTACGCAGAAGGAGAGGAAACCCCAGACGGAGGTCACGTAATCAACTGTGGTCCTATCTGCAAAGCAAAGGAGAAAACATGAAGAAGTGGGATGGTGAACCCACTTCCAAACTTGAGGCCAGAGTGAGAGAGTTACAACAAAAGGAAAACAACAAAAAGGTTGTCTACGTGATTGATGCAGATGCTCTACAACCTCTGAAACACAAAAAGATGGAGGTCCGCTTTGACAATAACAAGAAGGCTTCCAAGAAGGCAAAGTCAAAGTCGGACGATGAATACTCCGATCAAGACCAATAGAGGGGCCCTGCCTTCTGCCAGGAGAAGGATAGGGACCAGGAAGATAACAAGGTTTACTGGGCTGTGTGGGTTCAATGGCCTGGCACATCGGATCCTCAAAGATACCGGCCTTTAGTGGATACTGGTGCCCAGTGTACTTTAATGCCATCAGAGCATAAGAGTATAGAGGCTGTTTCTATTTCTGGAGTGACCGGAGGGTCTCAAGAGTTGTCAGTAGTAGAGGCCGATATGAGCTTGACAGGAGACCAATGGCAAAAACATTCCATTGTGACGGGGCCAGAAGCCCCTTGCATTCTTGGTATGGACTACCTAAAAAGAGGATACTTCAAAGACCCGAAGGGGTACCGATGGGCTTTCGGTGTAGCCACGGTGATTGAAGAGAAGTCCAAGCAATTGTTTACCCTATCTGGCCTCTCAGAAGATCCTTCCATTGTGAGACTACTCCAAGTCAAAGATCAGCAAGTGACTATAGCCACTGCAACTGTACACAGGCAACAGTACAGGACAAATCGAGATGCTGTGATCCCCATCCATAAGATGATCAGGAAGTTAGAGAGTCAAGGGGTGGTCAGCAGAACACACTCACCCTTCAATAGCCCTATCTGGCCTGTACGTAAATCCGATAGAGAATGGAGACTGACAGTGGACTATCGTGGCTTGAATGAAGTCACGCCGCCATTGAGTGCTGCTGTACCAGACATGTTGGAACTCCAGTATGATTTGGAGTCCAAGACAGCGAAGTGGTACGCCACTATTGATATTGCTAATGCATTTTTCTCCATTCCCTTGGCAGCAGAATGCAGGCCACAGTTTGCTTTCACCTGGAGGGGTGTGCAGTACACCTGGAATCGACTGCCCCAGGGGTGGAAGCACAGTCCAACCATTTGTCATGGGCTGATTCAGGCCACCCTAGAGAAGGGTAAGGCCCCAGAGCACCTGCAGTACATCGATGACATCATTGTATGGGGGGACACAGCAGAAGAAGTTTTTGAAAAAGGGCAAAAGATCATCCAGATTCTCCTCGAGGCCGGTTTCGCCATCAAGAGAAATAAAGTCAAGGGACCTGCCAGAAAAATCCAATTCCTAGGGGTGAAATGGCAAGATGGACGTCGTCAGATTCCAACAGACGTCATCAATAAGATCGTAGCAATGGCTCCACCGACAAACAAAAAAAAAACCCAAGCTTTTCTGGGAGCCATAGGCTTCTGGAGGATGCACATCCCAGAGTACAGCCAAATTGTAAGCCCTCTTTACTTTGTGACCCGTAAAAAGAACAACTTCCAGTGGGGTCCTGAACAACAACAGGCTTTTAGGCAAATCAAGCAAGAGATTGCACATGCCGTGGCTCTAGGTCCAGTCAGGACAGGACCAGATGTAAAGAATGTACTTTACTCTACAGCTGGAGATAAAAGTCCCTCCTGGAGCCTCTGGCAAAAAGTGCCTGGCGAGACGCGAGGGCGACCACTTGGTTTCTGGAGCCGAAGCTACAGAGGTTCTGAAACCAACTACACCCCTATGGAAAAAGAAATCTTAGCGGCATATGAAGGTATACGAGCAACCTCAGAAGTGATTGGTACCGAAACACAACTCTTCCTGACACCCCAATTACCAGTGTTGAGCTGGATGTTCAAGGGTAAGGTGCCCTCTACGCATCATGCCACCGATGCCACGTGGAGTAAGTGGATGGCTTTGATTATGCAACGTGTCCGAATGGGAAACTCGAATCACCCTGGAATTTTGGAAATTATAACCAATTGGCCTGAAGGTGGGAACTTCAGTCTGGCGGATGAAGAAGAAGAAGAGCCAGTGAGTCGAGCTGAAGAAGCTCCGCCATATAATCAGTTGCCAGATGAAGAGACACGTTATGCCCTCTTCACTGACGGTTCTTGCCGCATTGTAGGAAAGAGCCGGAAGTGGAAAACAGCTGTGTGGAGTCCCACCCGACGGGTGGCAGAAGCCACTGAAGGTAAAGGTGAATCGAGTCAGTTTGCGGAACTCAAAGCTGTCCAATTGGCCTTAGACATTGCAGAAAGAGAAGGATGGCCAAGACTCTACCTCTACACTGATTCGTGGATGATAGCCAATGCCCTATGGGGATGGCTAGACAGGTGGAAGAAAATGAATTGGAGACGTAGAGGAAAACCCATCTGGGCTGCCG